ATTAATTGTAGTCTCCTAGACCCCACAACATTGTTGCTATGCCTTGGACTCGCAGCACATCACACGACCGACTGAGCCTACAAGCTTGCCTAAACAAAGTGGTTAAATTGAAATTAGTTTTTCCAACAAAAAGGCGGATGTGTAGACTAAGTATTTTATATGCAACAGATTTAAGGAGCAAATTTGTCTCTTTAGTGTCCTCTACGTTGCAAAGCACGGATACATTAACTAGTGTACTATATTTTTTCATAACCACACCCAACAGCTGTTACTCTATTAACCACTCACAAACTGATTTCCAAACTGAAATGCCACTTAAAGAAACAGTTATCACACTTGGCAAATATAATTAAAAAAAGGAATCCACAATGCAGGGATTCTAACTAGGGACTCTGCTAAAGCTCTCATACTAAAACATTCCATAAGAGAATAATTATTTAAATAGTAATGGTTGTATAGTACAAATAGCTCGTTGATAAATGAAACTAATCATGCAGGCAATTGCTGGGTTATTAATTGTATGACAAGCTGAGCTAGGATAACTAAGAACTGAACTCACTACACAAACACTAGTCTCTAATCTAAGAGAAGAAAGCAAACAGTCTACGGCTCAGAAATGTTTTATACAGTTGTGTTATTTAAGTGTTAATGTTAAATATGCAGCACAATTTAAATCGGTGTACTACTCACACTGTAAGTGCTTTATTGTATTTTTTATTCATACTACACATTTAGTAAGTTATTCTCTGTTATTATGTGTAAGTTTAAATGAATTTCACAATAAATTTGTGTACAAGAACAGGGTGCCTACAAGAACCTAAAAGGCAGTATTTATGTTAAAAGCGAACTTGTTCATTGATACTTCTGGTATAGAAAAAAACACCTTTAATTGTTAGTAGCATTATTGTATTGCTACTAGCTTGCCTGTACGATAGAGAAGCGTTTGAATGCACGTTTCAGACTTTAAAGTGGTAAATGATTAGGACAATGGAATGGACATTTCTGGCCTTTAAATAAATTACAGTATATTATATTCATATTGACTTAAACCCTGCAGTACCTAACACTTTCAAAAAATGTATCATAGTTGTAGTGCAAATTGTCAAAAAGCATTTAGATACATTTTTTTATGAAAATTCAAAAATGCTGATAAATGTTGTTATAAACGAGGTTTTTACTGAACATAATATCTATAAAAGTTTGTTGAAGAGTTTGTACTAAATGAAAAAAAGTTGTAGCTAGAATATTACAGTAAAGTATAACCTATTTTAATTTTTCATAATTTGTATACTGTTAAAAATAGCATGCAAAAACAAGATTTATAGACCACAAAATGATTCAAAGTGTCCAACAGCAGTGGTTTGGGAGCAAAAAGTAACTGTCCAGAATACATCTCCAACATTGCCCAGATCAGTAGACACCCTGATAGCCATTGGCAAAGTGGGTTGGTAGACTAATCTATAGTTTGGTTTAATATTTTATTTCAACTCTCAGCACAAAATTACAGCGAGTAAAAAATAGCGACTACGATACTTTAAAGAGTGCAAGAAGCTTGCCATGCACTCAAAATGTTTCCTTTCGTTATGTGTAACTGTTATACACTTCTGTAGTGCAAGTATCAATGCTATATGCAACAAATCCAGAATAAACAATAAAATATGAAAGCTCTACGATAACATGTAAGTTCCATACCACCAAAATCGAAAGGCTGTCCAGAATCTGTAAGCATTCAATATAATGACTCCCTGAACAGCAAAGGAGTTGGATGTTTTCAATGCGGATTGTTTTAGATGAACAGGTGACATAAGGAAAATAGTTAGGCCTAATTGGTATTTTTTACAAGCCCTGCCATTTTCCTCACAATTTGCAATCCTCAAAGATACTTTAAGCATTTTATTTTAGTAATTATTTCCAAAAACCTTTAAACGTTGCTATTTGTTTTCATATTTTTCTTTTCGTCTACCAACTATAGCACCAACATCTGCTAAGGCTTAACATGAAATAAGCTGTACACTGCTTATACAAGGAAACTGTCACTAGACTATTCTCAGCCCAAGCAAGAGAATGAAGAAATCTGATAATCATTGATAGCCAGCTCAACCTATATAATATACGAGTATCTAATGCAGCGCCTAATTTAAAGTATTTAAAAATGACCATAATCTACACACTAAGATTAAACCATACCACCAAAATCATACGGTCTCCCTGAACCTGTAATCACATATCAATATTTTCCAAGTGGCTCAAGACATAAAACATCAACAAACACTCACCACATATAGAATCAAATCGGGCATTAATATTAATAGGTTTCTAATACTAAGGTTTTCTAATATTTTTATGAAACTATTAACATGTCACTTGTTTCTTTACTCATGTAAGAAGGCACTATATTTGACTGTTGTGTTGTTAGTTAAGATTTAAAATTGTATTTTATGTTGATATTTTGTAATTTTATTCCAAAACCATTTATTACTACACACATTAATTTATTAGCCAATACATTGGTACTCAAGGTAATTTTTATGGGTTTGAGTGACAAACTCATGTATTTTGAATTTCAAAATCAAAATACTATATTTAATTTAAACATATTAATAAGGTGCACTATACATCAGTATTTAAATGTATAAATGTATGAGTAAATGTTATAAACATTTTTAAAATTGTATTTATCATTCAGACAGAAAGTGAATTGTTTACAAAAGTTAAATCTCGCTAAGGCGCTTTCAATGTTTAAGAAGCCTGCAACATTGTCGTTTACATTTAAAGACATAATTTAAACATACGATACGACTGAAAATAGTAGGAATGACAAATTGAAAATGCGTAGCAGTGATCATAAGAAAATGCATACTACACTGTAGAGATGAACACGGAAAATATATTCCCAACTTTCGGGTGGGATTACATATAATTCAGGATCTTTTCATAACGGGATTTGTTTTGAATGTCAACAATTTTATTGCAAGTGACAATGGTGTCCCCGTAATCGCGGGAGATTACAATTTTGATGCCATTGCAAAAGTGTTCATAAATTTTCCACGTTTTTGCCGTCATGGCCCGATGAAAATTATGCAACTGCAAGAGATAATTAGGATCCTCAAGCAACCACGGATAATAGTCATGATGACATAGAACAGTGTGATAAAGACTAAAAATTGATTTTGTTTGTCATCAATAATAAGATTTAATAAGAAAAGTCTTCTGCCGTTCCTGTCTTGAGTGTCAGGAAGGAAATAAAAATCCCGTCCATCCCTACTGCATAGTTATGCATGTTTAGATAATTAAAGAAAAAAAGACTTGAAGTAAATAAATATAGTTGCCCTTCTCAGATAATGACAAGGGACTAACAACAATTTATTTTTATTTTTAACACAATTTTGAACTATAATTCATATCTGAATATTTCATTTATTAAGGTTTGGATAACTATTTAGTATTTATCTCTCGTTACATGAGGGTAATAGTTGCTTCTAACATCCTGCCAAGGTTATGTTTAGGTACCGGTAACAAGTTTGGGGACACATGGTATTTTCGTCTACAGTATCAACACTCACCCTCATATTTAGGTTTAAACAGCAAATAACCTTGAATTACATGACACTAACAGTTGTCTTCTACGATCTTGTCATGGCTATGTTTAAATGACAAGTTTGGGGACTCCAAGACACATGGTTTTTGTCTACAACAATCACACTCTAAACCTACTCACACAGACAACATTCAGCTTGTTAATGTGTTTCCGACGTACCTGTAGGCGACTCAGTTCTATTGTCCGTATTACAAGGAGTTGGCGTTTCACTCTCACCCTCTGGTACGATCTTCCTCAAGTCTTCTAGGCTGTAGCAGGTTTTGTGCAGCGCCCCCGAGTAGAACTCCAGCCCAATGATGGCGAATATGACGATGGCAAACAACACCAACAACCCGATCTGTAGCAGGGGTGCCATCGCCTTGATGATGGATTTGAGCACAACCTGTAGACCTGACGAAGAACAGAGTTAGGTTGGGTGCTGACCAGTGTGTGGCTATGATAAGCGGTAATATTTACATTGGTGAAAGTTATTGATATAAAATAGGTGAATTAGTCTATCGAAGATTTATACTCCTTAGACTGTAATGGTATTCATTCTGATAGGCTCTGAACTACGTATATATGACTCTTTGGGCTTTATGACTTTGACGTACATATACACACGACACGGGACATTTAAACATGAAACAACATGATGAAAGCGCTATCATGACACGTTGGCAGGGGTAGTTAGACTATAGCGCTATCATCATGTTGTTTTGTGTTCAATTTTTTTGTGTCCCGTGTTGTGTATATATGTACCGTATTATGTGCAAATTTTGAGGTTTTTGACGTTTTGTAAGCTCTGACGATGTTGCATTGCAACAAAACATGTCAGCTTTGAGTAAATGAAGTTAGGACGCTATTTTGGGTTACTGACAGAGGTAACAGAGGTAAGCCTTTTAGTCTTACACTGCAAATTCAGGTAAAGAGGTGAGTGTTTGTGAATGTACTAAGGGAACTAGTTTTGAGCTTCTAATACTTTACTGTTTTCCACTGAACTGTGCTTTCATAAGTAGATATATGATGATATTAAATGGAAATTAAGTAGGCGGTGCATTGTAATTCAAACACCTAAAGTATCTAGTTATTCTTTGATTATTGTCATATGAAACAATGAAGTTTAATAGTAGAATGTTGAAAGCTTTGCCAACAATTAACAATATTGTGAAAGAAAAGAACAAAAAAGTAGGTACTAATAAAAATACTTCTTGAAATGAAAATAGCAACAAAAAACATTAACCTCGAGCAAAAAAATCAAACATAAAAAGAGAAAAGTAAACAACTATTGGGCCACGAGAGTCTGCAGTTGGTGGCAGCCAATACCAAGACCAAGCTAGCGGGACGTTGCAACATGAGGTAGCGGGATGTAGCAACATCACCCGTTGACTACCACTCTGCCCCCATCGCTGGCCGTGGTGACAATAATTAAAATATACTAAAATATAGTTTTCAAACCAGCTAGTATAAATGTCCACCATGGAGACAAGTTTGTCAAACTAAAGTATTTTCTAAACATATAAAAGTCAAAGCCTTCACTCACTTACTGACTGATTCATCGCTAATTTTTCCAACTTCCACACTAGCAAGAAGGCTGAAATTTGGTATAGGCCTACTCGTTATTCAGGTAAAAAATATGAAAGTTGAATAGTTTTCATAGTGATTTTTCAAAAGGGTTTACAAAGGGGGCCCTAGAAACCCTTGAACTTTCAGTGTTATTCTTATGGACATTCTATTTCCGTTCATGTTTATCACACATATGTTTGAAAATAATTTCTATGTATTTTATTTACCAGCTGATTGAAAATTTGTTGTGTTTGTTTTGATTGTTTATGTTTATTTCAATTATGAGGTTAACCTGTGTGTTTTAAAACAAGTAACTTCTCAAGTGCTGTGTGCTCTCCTATCACTTCATAACTATTTATAGACCTTGGTGTTCATATCAACAGAGAAGATCAGAAGTTTTTGATAAGTACAATCCTGTCCATTCCTAGCTAGAGTAATGACAATGCCACAATAATTCAATTGCAGAATGATGTGTACTGTATGTTGTTGTAAGATTGGAGTTCAAGTATTGGGCGGATTAAGTAAAGTATTAGCAATTAAAGTAAATTACAAATGGCTTTTTTACGTTTTTTTTGTGTGTCGATAAATGTAGGCCAGGTCTATTTATGATGTCAAGTTTTAATAATTTCTTTTACTGAAAGTTTTAGAAAAGCCAATTTTATGTGTGTACATTTACGCACATTAAAACGTGATTGGTGAAAACATCGTATATACAGTAGACCTGCAACTGTTAAGGGCCTTTGAGAACCACAATAAAACATCGTAAAGTCTTATACTACTTAATGTTATTTTAAGATACTTTACATAATACTTTAAACTGAAGCTATGGGAGAACTGACAGCACTATTGGAAAATTAGGTCTAAGCATGTACACCTAACTGAAAAGAGATAGTGGGTGTAGTAGAGTGGCCAAAAACATATTTTGTAGGTGGTTTCAGGAGTGAGTTGTCCAAAGTTCTTGATGGAAGGGCAGTTAATGTTGTATATGAAGAAGATTTCCCTTAGTTTTAACTTTGTTAGTCATACATGCTAAATTAAAAGATTATATATAAATGGATTCAGGCCTAATATGTTTTTTTATTATTTTGTTGGCCAATCCAATTAAACAATTAACTTTATTTATTTTAAATTTTTGGGAACAAAGTCACGGCGGGCTTGCTAATATATTACAGAACTAACTTTGAAGTCACACAGTAAATAGGTTTCTCCCTCAAATGCAGACTCTTGTGGCCCATACAATAATGTTATTTTAACTTAACTTGTATGTAGTATATTATTTACAGAGGAGATATACAAAAAGTTAAACAATTTATACAATATACAGCACAGGGCATAAAATAACATGTTAACTGGGCAACAAAAGTGTCGCCCAGTGCTGAGATTTTGTCGCCCAATGGCTGTGGATGGTACCCGGCATATTTTTTTAAACGATTCAAATTTTAAATCTATCTGAATCTAAAAAATAACATTATGTAAATATTTTAGAGTATTGAGTTACGATTTTGGTCCAAGAGGTTGTGAATGAAGCCTTGGCCTGTTACGTTTTAGAATAAGTAATTAAGTGAGATTATATGGACTATTTACAAGCAAATATAATCGAAAAATTCATTAAAAGATACGTAGAAATGTGTGATTTTCACTTTAATTTATGCAAAAATTTTCCGTATGAGAAATTTGAAAAAAGTGCTAATAGGAGTAATAGATGTTTTAAAAATATTAAAGGTGAATATTTCCAATAACAACCTAAACTAAATTTAATGTTTATTCAGATTCTGAATTATCTACAGCCATATTTACATTCGTAAAAATAAGAATAAACCAGAAAAAGAGTCAATGATCTGAATTTGAATTTGAAATCTTTTACCGCAACATCTATTTCCAAATATAGTTTTCAAACTACTGAATTAAGCCTTTTATTGTTTTATTGGTCTGACAAAAAACTAAGATATGAAAGTAAATTTATTCTCTAGCTACATTATTTCCTAAATATAAGTATTTATGATCAAAATTGGTTTGGATGTGCAATTGTTCTAACTTCAAAGCCTCTTCAATCCCAAACAAATCATACAAAAGTAATCTTTACAGGAAATCCGTATCAGCTTTTACTACTATGCATCTTAGCTTTTGTGTTTTTTCTACATATACTAAGTCAGTAGGATGAAAACTACAGCAGTACAACTAGCATGTTTTATGGTGGGTTAATGAACTAACTAAGCATATACAATCATATGCTTAATATTAAACTTACGCTTCACTAATGTCCTTAAACCTATTGGTTGATTGTAGTGAAACTTAACTCGGCTTGAAAATAATCATATCAATGGAATGATAAAATTCCAAGGATGATGCAATAATCTTAATTGAATAACAATGATTTTGATTTTCCAAGCATTTACATCTTATACACATATTTTAAATGTACAAAAGGTAGGGAAATTTATATCGACTTCCGTTATTACCTGAACATATACTTTCATTTTTCTGCTAGCTAAACACTACGGAATGTTTTGAACTACTTACTTGGAATACCAGAGACCAGTTTGAGAGGCCTGAGCACTCGAATAGCCCTCAAAGTGCGCAGATCCATATCTAATTTTGTGAAATCCGTAAAGACTATTGTGACGAACCTGTGGAATATGACGCTATCACTACCCACACAGCTAAACTAGTCTACGCTATCACTAGTATCCCAAATGTTAACAACACTTTCAGAAGAGGAAAGATCTAATAATCCCCTCAAACAGGAAATTTAAGAAGGATGGCCGGAAATTTTTTGGAGTGGAAACTGTAAAGGAATCCACCCATTTTAAAATATCCTTTTCAAACTCGATGACTCATAATATATTAACTTTCTTTTTTCACAGTGTTCTTTATTCACCTTTGCATTTTGTAACAACTCGGAGTTTATGTGTTATATAATACCATTAGATTAAAAGCATTGTTTGAAAAAAGTATGAAAGCTTCGTTTCACATTTGGGACGATAAAGACTACACAATCAAAACATTTATAACTATTCTAACTCAATTTGCACACACAAATTTGTATAAATATATTTACTAAAACTATAACTACAATCTATATACTACAGTCATCTGCTATAGTATATCTAAACTCCACAGGAAACGAACAATAAGTAACACATCTGAAAACAACAATAAAGAGCCACACATCTATCTAACAACGAAGTAGATAAACAGCATGAAAGTTCAAGTTTTGTCAATTGGAAATGTAAAGTAGATTCCAATTGAAAATCACAGCCCATGAACGCAAGTTCCAACTGACAGTAATTAACCGAGTTTTATGAAATTCTAAAATTGAAGAACAACTGTAAAAGTATAACAATGTCCTAATCTTACTAATTATTTTACTACTGAAAACCATCACGATCAAGATGTTTTCTCCAAACAACATTTAAAATTCTGAAAACTAACTAAGAATTCACGTAACTAATTCTACAAAGATAACAAGGGGATGTAGTGTTCTCATATAGCCTAGTCAGTAAAATTACACATAAAAGCTGATTAGGGACAGTGCAACAAACAGATCTAGCCCTATGTGGACGAGACTATAACCTAGACTAGGGATCCGAACAAAACGGCTGTGTGGCACATCTTACTTGGTATCCTTGACACCAGTTTCAAAGGCCTCAACACGCGGAATGATCTCAACATCCTTAGGTCGACATCCACATTCGACTCAGCGAATATGGTCATAGACCTAAAACACCGCGTTAAGACTTGATGTTGACAAACCAAACGTAAAAATAGTTTAGATAGTTAGTATTACCTGTTACAATCAACACAAACAATATTGAAACAAAGTTAAAATTACTTACCCTGTTACTACAACGAAAAAATCCATGATGTTCCAAATGTTACGAAGGTATGAGCCGCGATGAAGTACAAAACCTAATGCTAAGATTTTAAGGGATGCTTCTACACAAAAAATGCCGAGGAAATAAGTCTCCGTTTGTTCCTGAAACAGAAATAACACTTTGTCAGTCTCATGTTAAACTATAAGAATAGTTATACTAATTCACATAAAGTTCTCTTTAATGGTAATAAACCGGATACAATTCTGAATATTAGTTTTTAAATAGGCTAAGTCTTTTTCTGGTAGGCCTAATATTATTTTTCAGACCTTAGTTACCAGATCACTACTCCACTACTGTACTCTGAGATAGACATTACAAAGCCAATGAGAAAATTGTCACCGCTTTTTGTAAATTATGCGTACAGAGAAATGCGTACAGAGAGTCCAAAAAGGTCGCTAACCCGAAGAAATAAGGACTGATTCTTGCTTGGATTACATAGAATTTGGGTTAGGTGGAATTTTGTCCGAAAGACATTTAAATGTTGACTGATATTGAAAATTTTTGTGTGCTGAGCATATTAGTTGTAATGCGAGAAATTTTATAATCTCGCATATTGCAGTTTCAACTGAACTGAAGAGGAGGATTTGACGGGGCAGTATGTGAATTGATACATTATTCCCTTCTTGATTAGTGGGATGGATGAGCAGGATGTGACTGATTTCACAAGTAAGTTGCCACTAATAATTAAGATTATAACAGAGTATACTCTTCTGTAAATTGTCCCTTTTAAACAGCAAAATTCAGGTTTAAGACCTAATTCTGTTCAATTGGTAACGTTGTTCCATACAACATTTTCTGAACTTGTATTTACAATATGTTAATTTTAGTAATCACACTCAACAATTGAAGATACTGACCAGTTTCTTTGCTAGCGGGGTCTTGTCGTTCTGTGGCAGATGTTCTTCCAGGGCCAGGACCACACAGTTGGCGATGATGGTGAGCAGGACTGCATACTCGAACGGAGTGCCACGCGGTTAAGGAAAAATGTTAAAGTGAAAGTAAAACTATTTTAGCACTCAAATTTACATAGGCCTAATAGTATTAACCAAAAGATCCTGTTGCAGAAACTAAATCTCAAAAGCAACATTACAAGTAAAAACAATAAATGTGCATAAGTTACAGACTTGTCACATGAAATGAAATTCTGAATGTACCCTAATCTCAAGTAGATTAGAAGAGTAACACCTAGTTAGGAACCCTCTCACTAGCTGAACCTTATCATGAACTCACTGTAGGTACCCTTTAATTGGCACAATTATTGAAATATTTTTTTCCTACCGTCACCCGAGAAAGTTGGCTTCCTTGTACTGTTTATAGTACAGAAAGCTGCTAATTGCTGCATATTTATACTTTGTCGTGTGGTTTATACTTTGCCGCACATCAGGATTCCAACGAAACAACACAAAACAGCGTGGTTCTAAATTATGCATGTAATCCGTGTACGCTTGGAAATAGGTTGGCAACACTTAAAGATAATAATACTATGAGCAGCTGATTGACTATTATAACTACGATTTAACCTGTCATTTCGTGTTTATAGTTTATGTTCTCTTTTTGGTATTTGTGAACTTTCTGGACTTTTCTTTTAAATGTTTTAAAAACATTCCTACGATCTTAATAAACAAGAAAATACCTTTAAAGCATTTTTTAAGCGCGGAAACCACTGCAAATTACAAAAATTACGGAACTATTTTTTTAAGTCGCGGAGCACATTGCTTGCCGAGTAAAAAATAGCGGAGTGATACGGACCGGGGACTACTTTCTCTAGGGCACCTATTTGTGTTCCCAGCTGAACCTAAAAACGTGTTTCAAAGACTAATTATTTATATGCTTTATAGTGACTGTAGTAAAAATATAATGTGTAACAGGAGTGCAAAAGGCCTTTGCTGCACTCGAGATCATTCCGCACGAGCCGCAGGCGAGCATATTTATACTTTGTCCCGCCGCTTTTCCTAACCCCCCTAGCCATTATGTATTACTACACTCACGCTATAGGTGGACCCTGTGTCCTGTTCAATAGGAACATCCACACAGTGATCACCGCTCGGCTCTTCCATGCTCACCACAAATATATATTACCATAGCGCTGTACGTGCACACACAACATTAGAGGTAAAGGCGCACGGTTGTCCCATAAGCAAGTTTCCTCAGAACCTTACTTCTCTGTGTTGGCAGTTAGCAAATAGGGTGTTACGTTGCTTGTGTTAAATAAGGTTAACCTCTTGGGCTATAATGTGAGAGGAACGGGTTAGAATCCTGCAAAAGTTTGAGGGGTTTGGACAGCTTCCGTAGAGCTTCCCCTTAAACGATTTTGGTCACTGAGATGGATGTTAACTTAACAGAAATTGATGTGAGAGAGCTGTTCACCGAACAAGGCTGTTTTAGAGCCTACTTTTACAACATGGGAAAGTCAGCCTTGAATGTCAGTAACTTACGGTGAATTTGAGTACAATGATGTACCTTTTTCCATTGTGTGAGGTGAGGAGGAACCTCAAAAAGGTTATTGGACATACTCATTCCTCTGATGTTGTCCTGTCTAAAATTTTGTTAAACTCTTTCTGTATTCTCCAGGAGAGTGCTAAAAATGAAGAGAACCAAAACACTAGGCCTACAATGCACCAATTCAGCATAACCCAGTGGAACATCGCGGCTAAAATGCCATCTCTGGTGTACAAAGAGGCCCTCTGAGAGGGTTTTGCATTGCCTGGACCGATGGGTTTTTAAATGGGATAAGTTAGAGTTTCACACACGAGGGTAAAATAACTTACGCCTTAGACCCTGAGAGTGCATTAGGTTTATAGTGCATTTTCCTATTGTAAGAAAAAATCTAGTTTGTCAAGTTTTTTAAATGGCTTACTGGTAAGTTACCCCTAGTTGGTCATTAAGTTAAAATCATTTATAGGTTTGGCGTCCTAAATTAGGCTTTCTAAAGCCTGATAAATGTCTACTTGAAACATTACAGTAGCCTTTAAACAATTTTCTGTAAGCTTTAAAAGTTCATTTATAAGTAGGCCTAAGTTACTAGGTGTTATTTAAAATCATGGTAAGTTTAGCATTTTTGCTGAAACTTATTTGTGCTTTGAGCAGCAGATCAACAACTAGGCTAGCCTAATTGTTTGCAATACATTCTTTAGAGGTTAGGTTAACTTATGAATGGTTAGGTAATAAAAGTTACCATAGTAAATTCATCACAGAAACATTAGTCTTAGCCTTATAATTTCTTTAAGCAGATCATCCATACAATTATCTCAGAGGTAGGCTATGAAAATATTAAAATACCTTACCTATCGTAAGATTGTTTTTTTTTTACACAAACTGGTAACCAATAAAATAAATATCACTTTTTCAACTAGACAGAACATTTGTAAACAATATCCTACTTGCTAAAACCAATTTGTTTCCTTCTACAATCCTAATCTTTTTATCTTGTCAAATGTTTTAAAAATATTAGGTTTTAACGTGGTTTTAATAGTAATTAAGAAAACAAAACACATAGTAAACCGTAAACTGTAAACAAACAAACACCATTCGTTGCACTCAATGCACTCTAGTCTCTCTCTAGATTTGAATTGAAATTAAACGTCAAAAACATATGTCTGTCTGTAACCTGAGTTTTTCTTATTCTTATAAGGATTTTTTTTGTATCTATCATAGACTTTAAGCATAGTATCAAAGATCAAAGAGTAAAGAGTAGATAGCGTATACTATCAATAAAACTATAAGAACAAAATGAGTACTAAAGGCCTTTTAACACCGGCGTACTGGACGTACTGTACGTTTGGTACGTTTTTTTTTTCAACAAATCGCTGTCCATGTTATCATATGGGCTCGTTCACACCTCGCGTACAGAACGTACTGTACGTACAGTACGTACGCGATGGTTTTGTAAGAATCGCTCGGAGAGCGATTTTTCTAAATCGTACGAGGCGTACGCGAGCTCGCGCATGCGCAGTGGGCACACCAAAACCACGTGCTCAGCCAGTGTTACGGTGTTACTTGTCTGACTGCAAACGAACAAGTGTACGTTTTGGAAGTTTCTGTGCGGTGTGAAAGGACCGCGTACTGTACGAACTGGCCGTACCAAACGTACAGTACGTCCAGTACGCCGGTGTGAAAAGGCCTTAAGCAACTTTTGGGTTGTCACGCAGCTTTTAATCTCTTATCCTAGTGTCTAAAAACTAGTTCGATGTATCTCGTTTTACAGAACTAATTGTGTTTTAGGTTTGACATTAAACCACTATTCCTGTACCATCGTAAGCTCGATTAGTATAAATGAAAGCAATAGTTATAAAATGGCAAAATATGTTATGACCTTCTAAATAGAATTCTGAAATTATATTTATGCACCAAACCGGTAATTTATGAATCCCCGCGATGAGTTGATGAAGCAGAATTACTTTAGAAACAGTACCCTGGCTAGTAATTAAAATATATAAATTATGTATTGTATCCGATGTCAACGGTTTTCAGTATTAAAACTATATAATTTTATTGCACAATCATCTCTTGTTTCTGAATGAAAAAAATAAAGTTTTGTTATAAAATACTTGTAAATAATCCCAGCTCTCAGTCTTAGTGCAGTAGAGGTAAAACATCTCCTATAGGTTGGTTCAGAAAACTTGCCTTAAAATACCTCCATCCACGCGATGCCTGTTAGCACCCGTGTAAGTTGAATTATATTTAATTGTCAAAGATGTATGCTAATTATTTAAGTAATCCAGTGGTATAATGACTCATTGTTTCACTCAAGTCATTTATATTCCAAACGACAAATATTATAGAACACATGTTGAGATTCTTCACTGATTTTTTTTTCTGTCAATTTATTAAAGTACGGTCCACGAGAGTCTGCAGTTGAGGGAGGAGCCTATTTACCACGTGACTTCGAAGGGGTCATAGTGCGGTGTTGCCGCTGATATGAAAATATTGTTTATTCGAAAAGTAGTAAACGGTTGATGTTTCAACATCGTGCTAGTCCAGTCTTGGTATAATCTGCAGCCAACTGCAAACTCTCGTGGTCCCTAGTGTAAGCCACAATGGGATTGTAAATACTTTGTGATGCAAATGACAACACAACTTTACATTCTCTACACTGAACAATTTTCAGATTTTGGATGATTACCCTACGGTTTTTTGCATTAAAGGATATGGCCACTCGATGATAAATCTGGTGTATCGGCGTAGGGGGTTGTCCTCGCTGAGCAGGAAGAGCGAGGAGGGGCCCTTTGCGGGCTGGTTGGGGCCCCCTGGCTGGCCCATGGCGGTGGGGGACCAGTCACGACCAGCCCGCTGTTGCGCTGCCGCCTCCTGTGCTGCCGCCAACCTGCAAACACAAAATCATCAAATTCCCAGAATTACCTTTATATTGATGGAATCATACATTTGATTTCCATGTTAAAGTTGAGCCTGTTTCACTGAGTACTGAGTATTATTACAAATTGACGGAAGTTCAACTAGACTACCAATGCTGGTTGATATAGATTTTGTTTTATACGCCGACATTAAGGAATAACACCAGGTTAACACTTAAACACAAAATAACTATTACGTCCTTTAACATGAATAGAACTAGATACTGCATTTCATTCTCATCAGTAACAAATTTTAGAATAATATAATATTCACGTTGATTTGGACGAACTAAAAAGTGCGCTGATGTTAGTCAGTGGATCCGGTCGAATGCGCATACTTTCGAGTGCAGGAGAATCTTAAATTTTTGGCAGCAGCGCGCTCTCTAAAAGTGGCTTATTCTACAAAATTCTATTTGAATTAAAAATGGCTATAGCTGATCCATCTGATTTGGTGAGTCGGTCACTCAGTCAGTAGCGTCACGGACTTCGGGAAAACTAAAATTAATTTATCAGTACAGTTCACATTCGTACTGTACCGGATCACCCCTTGCTTTGCTGGATACGTTCCATTTAGTCTGTACCATTGTTCCACGCACGGAAAATTAAGTCTATGTGGACAGGCAAATGAAAGACTGCCAACCCCTTAAAAAAATAAATAAATAATTAAATGTACACGAGAAGTCCTTTTCAGTATCCGAAGATTCAGTGGTAGGTACTATAACCACCTCGAAGATCCATTCACACGAATATCAATACGTTCTGGTTAGATATTTTGCCTTGCTCCACATATATTAATTGTATTTTTCAAGTTCAATGAACCATTAGGGTCGGTAAACAGAAAAAGACAAATTGTGTCAAAATTATAAAATAAAAGCTAGGAACTTCACTAAAAATCTTACAACGGCGTACTTCTAGCGTGATTACTTGATTGTATGGAAACAGTATGAGGCCGCCGGCGCTGTCATGAAAGCCTCGTTGTTCATTGTGAGAAACAATGGTCTTTCCAGTAACGTAACGAATTCTGACCGAATCTCCTTCAAAATTTACCCGTAGGTCCCTTTTTAGAATCGTCCGGAGGTATACCCAGAGAACGAATGAACAATGATAAATTAGTCAATGAAATGTGTATAATCACTCTTATTACAAAACGTGTTGTTCACGATTCTCTGTCAGTGTAACCCTGACAGACAAAAGAAATTAGGTGGATAGATAAACTGTAGAAACTCTGGAGAAATAGAGTTTGTGCCCTGGTTTCTTATGCAAATCCTTACGAAACACATCCAGGGCCACATGTTATGCTATGTTATGTTGGATGTTTATGTACTGTACAGTACAACTGTTGTTATACTTAGGAACTGACAGTTATTTGTTGTTGTTACACATTACTTCTAGTGTTGCAGTTACCACTGTTGTTACAGTTACGAGGTCACTTTAGTTAAGAGCTGTTGCTTCAATTAAGTTAGGTTTCGTTAAGTGCTGTTGATTCAGTTATTTTTTTCCACATTGGCGTGCCTATGTTACAGTTATTTTTTTGTTACACATTGGCGTGCCTGTGTTGCAGTTACTGGCTGTTGTTACACTGGCGTGCAATGCAGGGTGTAATGTGAGGGTTGGTGACCCGGTTAGGTCTATTTCTGGACCACAATCAATGACTGGACATTTGCTAGACTGACCTCCCTTTGTAAAGTAAATCCATATCGAGGTCA